CAAAATACTTTGGTTTACTTTATACTGTAAACTAATGTTTAAAAAATCTTCCATATATGATTAAGGTAAATCGAGATGTTTCGCTAACGATAAGAATATAAATGAGCAAAGAGTATAACAAAGAATAAAACTAACATTCTTCGCATGCTAGAGAGGTATTTTTGACATTTTTACCCTTTCTATTTGCAAGTGTTTTTTTTTCTTTTTCATATTGCAAAAAAGAAATTAGTAATATCAGCAAGCTTCAAAGGTTGCAATTTCTCGATCTCTTTATATTTAATGTAATTTTCTCCCTTTTCCTTTTCAAGGAGGTTTTAAATAAAATCTTTAACGTACATCCAAGATATGTCCAAGGTTGGCTTGCTCCTTTTCATAGTGGTTTAAAAGCTTTTATCATATATATCCAGACAAAGTCCAATGGTAGGTTCTCTCTACTCTGTAGCTATTACACTTTAATGAAAAAGCTAAATCTGATGCAGATTGCAACAAATCTAGCAGCAAAGATAATCATACAACTCTTTTATGTTGCACTTATGATATAACTCCATTTGTAGCCATCTTATGGCTTCCAACAAACCTTCAAGAAATGAACACTTGCACCACATCATCCACCAAAATGCATCTAGAAGACTACTCTAACTAATTTCTTTCCCAAAAACTATCAAGAAAGTAGAAAATTATGGGCAGTTCGGTGCACGAAGTATCCACGTTTATGCAGGGTCAGGAGAAGAACTGCACCCAATGAGGTGTGATCTAGGCAACCTATCCTAATGCAAGCATCAATGACTGATTCTACAACTCGAACCCGTGACCTATAGGTCACACGGGGATAACTTTACTGTTGCTTCAAGACTCCCCTTCAAGAAAGTAATAAATTGCGGAGCGATAATTTCTCACTCGGTACCTTATATAGTTATATTCATATTAAATTAAATAATTTAATCTTAAGAGTAGTACCAAAAAAATTGATTAAGAAAATATGCGAATGTATTCCTTCTGAAATAGACTAATAAAAAAATAGGTCCAAATAGAATCGAAAAAGAGGGAATATTATAGGTCTAACATACATTCGAGTACTAAAAAATGAAACTCATCCATAATTACGAATAATACGTTTACCTACACATGACATTGTAATCATGATAACAGAATCTTTTTTTCATATGATAAGTTAAACCTACCAAAATTGGTATAGAAGGGAAATTACCAAATATGGTTTTACAAGGACTTAATATTCATTAGTCTTAAACTGTCATTTTCATGCAGTTGATTATACTTTTATCAATCATCTAGAGTCGTGAAAGTTCAAATGATCCTTGAGACTGAAAGGTTGTTGGTTTTGCTCCCTATTCACCAACCGTTAGCTTTTGTTATTATATTTGAAACATCCCTAATTTTGTGTCTAATAAGTAATAAGAGCAAAATTAGTCAGCAAAAAAACAAGAAAAGTTATATGATGTTTAAGTAAGAGCAGCCTGGTGGACAAAGTATTCTGCGTGCACGCAGAGTCCGCGAAAGAACAGCACTTCAAGGGGTGTGATGTCGACAGCCTACCCTAATATTAGTGGCTACTTCCACAACTCAAACCCGTAACTTATAGGTCACATGAAAATAATTTTATCGTTGCTCCAAGATTCCGCTCCAGTTATATGTCAGTTTCCAAATAGAAAATAAAAAGTCTTTAAGTTTCAATCTAACATTAGTGAAAGTGCACAGTTAGTTAATGGGATCACTTCACTTCATATGCCGAACATGAATAATTTTTTAAATACCAATATCAAACGTTCGAAAGTTTTATTTCTGGAATTTCTCCAAAGTTTGGTGTTCTGGTCTGATATGAACAAAGGGTAGTTTTGAGCACTTTCCTTTAATGAGCCTTATATAGTACAAATTTAAATTAGTGAGGGCCTCAATACTGCTATCGAATAGGAGGTGAGAAACCCAAAAAAAAGAAGAAGTTATAATTCAAGCAAACATATATATGCAAAGGGAGGATATTGATATGAACTTTTAGTGATGCCTTTGCTAAAGAATACAATGAGTTCCACTAATTTAAGACAACTCTACCGTTTTTGCCATAATTAATTCAAGCTGTGGACCATTTGAAACTTACATTTACATCAAGCAGTTCTTGGAAGTTACTCTTTTTTTTTTCCCTTCGGAAGTTACTCTTATCCCCCCCAACCCCTATCTTTTAATTTCTTTTTTGGTAATTTTCTTTTTCTGAAAATTTTGGTAATCAAAAGAATTTTGATTTCTTCTTGAAATATGCTTGTTTGGGGACCGATTTCCGCTTTGGCTAAAATGACTTGTATTTCTATAAATACATGATATAAGAAGTGTACCTCACTTTTCTTCTCGAATTCGATATCGTTTTATTCCTTTTGAAGAAAATTATAAGATTGATTAATTTAGCTAAATGAAATCTGAAATATTTGATATCATTTTCTTGAATAAAGAATAACACTATAACACAATTTGGTTATGCATGCACTTAGTCTTCATCCATCAAGATAATACGAAAATAATACGAAATATGAGAATAAAGAATAACACAATTCGTGCACTTAGTCTCATCCATCAAGATAAGCATTAAATTTTATAAAATATAAGTGGGAATTTTATATCAGTCATTAGTTTAAAAGTACACTAGCTTTTCATGCACTTGCTAACTAGCTAATAAACTCCATTATTAGCTGGCACAAAATAGTGGTGTTTATAAAATCAATTTAAGAATCTTCATTTTCTTTTTAAACATCACATTTAGTCCATGTCCAGAAACAAAAAAAGAACAATTTGGCAATTTAATTGAACTAGTTCAGCTATTTTCAATAATTTTTTCAAGATCACCAAGATGACGAGATTTTTACAGAAAAAAAAATAAGAAACGCGTTGACGCTGGACATTCAACTATTTAACTGAATCTTTGAAACTATATGTATGTTCGTAAGTCACTAATTAATAAATATTTATTACACAGGAAATGCTGTAGAAAGATCCTTAAAACCAATTGCGACGATTGTTACAAACTGAAATCATGATTACTACAATGACAATGACATAAAAACACGCTAATAATAGAATAAAACATATTATTGATATTCAAGTGGCCGGTAACATTAGACAGTGGAGATAAATAAATAAATAAATAAACTGACGACTATGTATACAATTTGCTTTTTTCATTTAATTCTACGCATACGGTTTTCCTTGGAAGAAATGTTCAAGTGCAAACAAGAAAAAAGAGATTGCCAGATCTTGTTGTGATTTATGTAGTTTGTAATTATGTATATTTATTTTTAAAAATTTAATAATTTTATATCTGAATTTACACCAAAAGTTAGATAATTTGACTGCGGATTTAGGGGACGGAAAGGGTTCACCCGAATCCTATAAGACAAAATTTATTTTTTACCTTTATATATTATATTTCGAATCCGCTTGACAGAACCCAAAAATATACTTTAATTAGTGATAAGGGGGTTCAAAAACTTTATAAAGTTATTGGTTCCTACCTACAATCCATCTTTAACTTTTTTTTTTGAACCTCGTTGAACCCAATGGATTGAGTTGGACGCTCTTGAAGAAGTCATCCTTTGTAAATATACTAAAGATTAATGGCGATATGGTAAAAAAGTTAACCATATATCTTGACTCAGGTGAAATATATATTCTTTTATATGAATATGAACGAAAAGGAAGGAAACACAATGGATAAATTCCTCGAAATTGGAAGTGATCCCACCAATGCAGGAGTGATGTATTATCAGTTTATCACCACTTATTGTTATATATATATTACTCCACTAGCTATTATCACAAATATCTTCACTTTCATATATTTATGATTTACATTTGTTAATGATGATATTTGAACTAGCTTGGGCTTAAAAAAACTTTTATTCACCCTTGAGAAAAGATCTCGAGTTCGAGCGTTAAATTTGAAAAACTTCTTATTAGAAAGTATTTATTTCTACAGTTGTCAATCGGCCAGATTAATTAATAGTCCAATAAACTTTGTATACCGAATGATTTAAAAAAAAAAAATACAGTGGGGGAAGATCTATGCTAAGTGTGAAAACCAAAAAAAGGACCACCTCAATAATCTAAAAGCCCTAGTCATCCCCCACCCAAAGCATTCCAGTTGGCATTCATAAACAGTAATTTATTTTAATTGCCACATATAGTAGTTGACTTAGAATCCATAGAGTTTTACTACAAGATTACTTTCTCTTTCTCATATTAACTGTCGTGGTGATTACTAAAAATAATTATTTCAAATTATTTGTCGACGAAATTGATTATTTTTTTCCTTTTTTCACCCTGAGTACTAATTGTTCTTGAATATGGAGATAACACATAAATCGAATAAATATTCAATAAAGTTAGATTATATCTTATGACATAAATAATGATAGAATAATTTAATTTCTTTTCTAATTAATATTTCTTAATAAACGTGTAAAAAAAAAATATGACACATGAATGAATAGGGAGAGTATATATTAGTTGCCATCCTCTTTCCTCCCACTAATAGCAGTAAAATTACAACTTTTGTGGGTTCCTTTTCCTACCCTTATCTTTTCTTTATTACAATTAACTTAAGAATATCAAGCTATTATCATCATTTCAAATAAAGGTACACGTAATAAAAGCATATATGTGATATATCTATGCAGTACATGCATTAATACTTTAATGATAAACAGAAACTGCTTTGTATTTTATCGGTCATAATAAATGAAATTAGTAACCTTTAAAATATCTGAATAGGTGTAAATGTTCTAAATAGTGATAAATGCATGTAAGGTAAATCCAAATAAAATCATTTTTTTTTTACTGAAGAATGTATAGAAGTTGGGTTAGGCTCCAAAAATACAAATAATTAATGACAGGGTCCAAAAAGGACAAAGATTAGGAAGAACAAACATAAACAAAGCAAATGTGGGGTCTAAGAAGAAAATACTATACTTAAAGCACATTAAACACAGTATTCTTATGAAGTCTTTAGGCTATATTTCATCGGCCACTTTCCTATAATTCCTATTATCTATTTGCAATCTCTTTCCTCTTTCTCTCTTTTGTGTTTCCTGCTTGAATTATACCTACATATGGCTCCTAGTAAATGAGGTTTCACTTACTGATAGTACAATAAACAGATTGCTTAATTCTCATACTATTACTACTGTGTATGTCACTCTTCTCTTTGTTGGCTTTGTCTTCCCCTCNACACACACACACCCATTTTCTTGTGATTTTGGTTCATGATACAGTAGAGCTCTTGTTTGATTTTAAGTACTTATAACTTTGTGATCCATATATCTGATTATCTTATTATGTTCATGCTCTTAAAATTTTTATGTGGTGCCTGGTAATTTTATCTGAATTTCGTTAATATGTTCCTTTTTCTAATTATCTTGTCTTTTCTTACAATAATAATTTAGAGTTAGATAACTTGGACTATCTTAACTGTTTTTGTTTTTTTCTTTACTTTTGATTTTCTCTAAATATTAAATTCATTCTCTAGTTTTTTTGTTTCCTGTCTAAATTGTGACTCCCTTTTCTCCTCTATTTTCTTTGTTGAACATGAAGATTTAAATGTGGTAAAAGAGTGGGGTAAAATTATTTTCTTTTTGTATATTTTGGTTGGTGAAGTTAAGTGTGAAAAAGCTTTCCCTTGAATTTCTGCTTGTTATTGAATTGCAGGAATTTGTTTGAGAGTATATTAAAGAGAAGTGTTACCAATTTCTATATATGACCATGCATACAATATTTACCAAAGGGAATGAAACTGCAACTTGGTGGGGCACTACTGAATTCACTACTTCCTCTGGTAATGATCAGTGTAATTTAATCTATTATAGCCGGTTATTAGTCATCAATTTTTATTAGACCTCCAATATAATTAATGTTTATCGTAGAAATTTATATGAAATTGTCTTATAAATGACATAATCTTAAAACTGTTTTTTATACTTGCAGTCTTTTGGTTTTGTACATGCATGGTTATGTTCATTTTCATGGTTTTGGTTTCTAACAATTTTAGTATTGCAATGTAAGAGCTTTATGCTAAAGAATAAGGACATATTGTATGAAAGTTGAGATCTTGTTGTCCTTTCTCTAAGTTTACAGATTTGAAAGAACAAATACATATGATGTGAAAGTTCAGACCCTATTGTCAGCATCTCTAAATAGTAAATTGAGACTGAGTAGGAAATCAAGGAAGAAACATAATCTTGATAAATATGTCTACTGGAAAGAGAAGGAAAACTTGTGCAGCAGTCTGTATCCCTGACTTCAATTGCCAAATTATTTCTTTTATGGACAAAGTTTCCCATTGATAGATGAGAGAAAGTTAGTGAGGTAATTATGCAAGATCCTTTTGGGAAAATCGTTCAAATTTGGCTTATCATACCATATGAAGAGTATCCTTGGATTGTTTTAATCCAACAATTAGTATTACACCCTATGATTTGGCACGACAAGTATGGAGATGACGAAGTGACGTGTGGGGCTCGAAAGCTAGCTAATGGACTTTGATAACCATAAATACTCAAATGATGTGTGAGGTGTTCATGTGAATTTAGGACTTTATTTAATCCAAATAAGCACATTAGTTGATGGTCATGTGGACCTTAGTTCATGTGAATTTAATTCAAGGGGAAGATTGTTGGTTGTGCAAATAAAATCCTACGTCGATAGCTGAAATGAAAAGGAAGCTACATAAGGTGTAGGGATAATTTTATTGATGTGAGGCCTTTTGGATGCGAATCAGGTGTAAAACATACAATATCACACCATATTTAAGAGTATATATTTGGGTTATCTTAGTCCAACACCTGAAGGTAAGATCAAGAAGAGATTTGAAGGGATTAATTGGAACTTTATCTACCTACATAAGGCTCAAATTATGTTGTCATTCTCACAAAAATAAGTTCAAACTCACTTCTCCTAGATAATTGTTGAAGATCATAAGCAATTTACATCTAAGTTGGGGAACATGTATTGTTGCTGCTTCTTTTCATTTAATTTCTATTGATCTATATATAGAATCTCAACTACAGTCTTCTTACTTTCTCATTTTGCCCCAAGGTCACCATCTTACAAAATTTACATTTCCTTCTTTTGTTTCCCTAAAAGGATCTATCTTCTATGTTGTTTCAACCAGTTCGAGTTATATTTTGTTTGACACTTCGATTAAGCTCATATTAATATTTACGCAGAATCTCAATCAAGTGATTCCAAATCTTCAGAAAAGGCAGAAAAGCTTTCAAATGTTCTGGATGGTGTTTCAACTAAATCATCTAATATGGACTATCAAGGTCACTTTGAGCCCCTGGTAATTTTTTCTGGATTAACTTATATATAATGTTGGTGTAACTTTTTTTATATTATCACTGTATTTTAACCTGTTGTAGGGGTAACCTGCTTTATTTTTAGGTTATTAATTTAACATATTATGAACAATTATCTATTAAATATTTTAAGTAACCTGATAGTATAGATTTTTTATTATTTAAAAAAAGAACAAACTGGTAGTGTGTAAAAGTTAAACTCAATTTTATTAGCATGAAAGCTAACATGTTATCAATAAGTCTTGATTGCTCTTCTCATTGGTTTTTTTTTTTCCTACTTGTCCACCAGATTTATGCAAAGTATCCTTATGGAGAGAAGTGCCTTGGGTTATTCTCAACTTATGGTTCTCAAGTTTCGGTATTACTTCTTTCTCATGTCTTAAATTAGTCAATTATTTGGAAAAACTACACATTATAGCCTCTTTCAAAAATAATAACCGGCAAAATATATATTTTTTGTATAATATACATATTATATATTAATATACATATTATGTACATATTCTTTGCATATTTGGCTAACAGATGTAATTATTTTTGGCTGATCGGCCAATTGTGTAACTTGCCCCTGCACAAGAAATTAGCAAATTATGTTTTTGCAGTCAAATGCTTATTTTAGCGGCTGGTTCCTCAAATAACTTGTTATTGTAACAAGCTTTATCTCTGTAGTATCCTTCAAAAATATTTTTACCATAGTAATGATCGCAGTCCTTAGTATTGATTGTCCATCTTAATTTGAAAAAAGATTTAACAAACATGCTCTACATTTCATAAGCCTCTTCACTGTGTAAAGAAAGATGATATACAGATTTTCTTCTTTTCAAACATGAAATATTGGTTGCATCAGTATCTGCCTGTTTTAACCACAATTTTACTTATATTCACTGTAGTGTAATGAAATGTGTACAATGTAAGAGCAATTTACCTCTTGTAGAAAGTTACTTGTCTTATTCTCACGCTACTAATTCCACTTATTATGAATAGTGTTACCTGTAATTACTGATTGTGTAACTATCTCTTTAGTGATATTTCATGAAGTTTCCTGTACTCTGACCTATCTTATTCATTTGAAGTATTGTCGAAGATTCTTTTTAACTAAATGATACAGAAAGTAATATACTCATAACAGAGTTTCTATTGTCAAAATTTTCAAGGGCCGTATTATGCTACCACTGAATTTGACCTCTGATGAAGGCCCCATATTTGTCAATGCAAAGCAGTATCATGGGATACTGAGGCGTAGAAAGTTTCGTGCAAAGGAAATGGAGAATAAATTGCTTAAACCGCGCAAGGTAAAATTCTATGCTCAACTCCAATTGCTGAATAATCAGTTGCAATTACTATGGATCCACATATGCATATCTAATCATCGACTCTTTTAACTCGTAAGATACAAAATAATATGCTTAATATGAAAATTTTAAGAGAAAAGAGCAGTTCCTTGGGAAATTGTAGCAAGGTGTTCTAGATACGAGCTACTAGAAGAAGAATAAAAGCACATAACTAAAATGCATTATACTGAGACGAAGAGATTACTTTCAGCTAGCTTTTTTTCCCTAGACTCGGATTTGCTTTCCTCTTCTCATTTTAGTTGTTTAATTTTTGCTTTGGTTTAATGGTATAGCCGTTCTTGCACCTCTCACGCCATCTCCATGCCATGCGCCGACCTAGGGGAGGTGGTGGTCGCTTCTTGAACACAAGGAAGATGAATGGAAGTATCAATGATGATACAAATGGTACAACCAAGACTAGTAACAGGAAATCTCAACCCACTGGATCACAGAATTCTGAAGTTCTGCAGTCTGATCATATAGGCAATTTTAACTCGCCAAAGGAAACAACAAGCAGAATGTCCTGTAATTCATCAGAGGTTACTAGCTTCTACTCCAGGGGAAATCTTGATACTTATCCAGTTAACAATCCTAGGCCATCAGTTCAGGCTTTTTTTGATATGATGAATACTGGCCATGATATTCCCATGGGCAGTAAGTGGGGTTCTGCAGCAGCAGATAGTTGCTGCAACCTCAACATTTGATAACGTCGTCCTTACTACAACCAAATTGACATATATATATGGTCCTAACACGATTTGGTTGCTAGAATAGGCAGATCATCCTTGGCTATTGACAGGCAGTTCATCCTTGGCTTATCCGCATTAAGGTGTCGCCTCTATCGTTCCATTAGCTATCCAGCTACGTGGAAATTACGAGGTGCTAAAACCTTAATGCAGTTTACTTATAGCAATAGTAGGAATATGTATCCTAAACTCTAAATAAGTTAATGTGAAGGTCCAAATAATCAGGTTTGCGATGTTGTGCATATGTTGGTTTGTAAAAATAGAGTTGATCGTCTGTTGATGATTAAACTTGATATTCACTAATGTGTGATTTGGTGTGTTTTAGACTGGAAGTTGTACTTGGATGGAAGTGAAGTGTTTATGATATAATATTTTGGATATAAGTTCGTATAATATGTGCAATGTCTTCTACTTCCATATCATTTACCTTAACATTAGATTTTATACCACAATAGTTTCAAATCCTAGTGTCAAATATGTCTAAATTTTGAGTAAAACCAAACCTTGCTAATCTAATACTGAAGCTGCCTAGACATAAGTTATTGTTGCCTAAATCTCCAAGGGATAAAAAGCGCGGCTACAATACACAAAACATCCTGCGTTTACGCAGAATTTGAGAAAGGGTCGCCTCTCAAGGGAGTGATATAGACGGTCTACTCTAATATAAGCCTATTCAAGGGATAATTGTTTCAGAAAATTAACCCTACTTATTTTGTTTTACGAATGCCAAATGATACTATGGGGCCGTGAAGATAGGCTTCGTCTTTACATCCGTCTTTCCAACAATAGAAAGACAAATATCATTGTGAAGGGATGCAATTTGCCGAGTGCAACTCTAGTCCGGTGTTGGACATAGAATTCTATCAAAGCGTAACATTTTTTTTCATTATTAACCATCAGATTATAATTCTTTTGTTTTATTTACCATGTGAATATCTTTTGCCCGTGGCGGATCTGGTTTGGATGTATGGGTCATGAGGCACCTATTGGCTTGGGCCAAATTGTTTTATGTATTCATAGATAATAGTTAGGGGTGTACATGGACCGGGTTGGTTCGATTTTTATCACAGCCAAATCAAATCAACTATATCGGTTTGGATTGGTTCGGTTTTACTGGATTTTTGGGATTTTTTTGTTGCATAAATATTATTTCAATCTTATTTTGTTAAATTTTTTATAGGTAAATACATATTTAGTAAAAATTGAAAAAATTAACAAACGTATGATCTATTAACATATTCTTATGGGAGAATTTTCTTAGTAACATATGATAGTTATTTTTTTAGTCGTCTGACAATATATAATTTTTCGTTGATGTACACTTTCAAGATTAACTAAATTTAATAATTAAACATAAAATCAATATGATACCATATAATAATATGTTCTATTTAATTTTAAATTATCAAAATACCACTTCAAATTCGAAAAAGATATAAGAATGTAATAGATCTTGACATACGAATATGGAGGAACAAAGAGATTGACACATTTCACTAACACTTGATAAGAAAGTGATCATACAACCCATTAGTTAAAGCTAATAAAGATAGAGCATTTCATATTTTACTAAATATTACATCCCATAAGAGAATCTTAAATATTTCTAGATATTTTTTAAAGAAAAATCTTTAAAATATATATAAAAATTATATATTTATATGTCGGTTTGGTTCGGGTTTTTTTTTTACTCAATACCAAACCAAATAAACTAAACCTAGTCGGGTTTTTTAATCGGTTTGGTTTGACTTTTCGGTTTGGTGTTGTTTTCCGGTTCGATTTGTACACCCCTAGATAATACTTTAAAAAATCAATAATTGATCATGAGCATCCATTATGATCATATTTGACCGCTGTGAATTTATATTAGCGAAGTACCTGCGACTTATAAATCCTGGATCAGCCACTAAATATTGCATTATATGAGTGAACCAAAAAATCTCAGATCGGAATATTCTGGGGGAAAAAAATCAGAAATAGCCAGATTTATAACTAGTAATTGAAGAATAACCATAGATTCATAAGTAATCAAAATTTAAAAACTTTTCATTTAAAGATAAAATCTGAACAAAAATACCCTTAAAAATCTAAAAATATTCTAGTACAATATGCTGGAATTTCATAATGTGTTGGAGTTCCAACATAATATGCTAGAAGTTTATATGCAAGAGCTCCATAATCCAGCATATTATGCTGGAACTTTCCGTGTGTTGGAATTCCAACATAATATGCTGGAAGTTTATACGCATGAGCTCCATAATATAGCATATTATGCTGAAATTTTCTTTATTTCAGTAAAATAGTGATTATTTTTCAATAACTTTACAAACACTGGTTATTTTTCAATTACCAATCAAAAAACTGGCTAACCATATTTTTCACGGATATTCTCTGGTACTCAAACTTCTTTGACCCAATCAATCTTAACCAAGCACTTGACCCTTTCCTTACTTCCTACCCCACACTCTTGAAGACTAATAAGTGTACAATAATATGAATTGACTTTTAAAATCTTATTTTTCACTCAATTTGGCATAGTTGTTGAAGCATCGACCCGTTTAACAAGTCTTCTCTTCAGCCTGCCATTCAAGAACTAAATAAATNTTCACAACCCATCTTAGCCAGATCAATAGAAACTCTAATCTAAATCTTGGGACCTTTCTTTTAGCTGAAAAACTTACCTATTTATTCATCAAAAATGAATGATCTTTTCTCAGGCTCTTTCTCTCGTTTCAGAAGTGAAGATCAATCCCCAAATCAAGATTCTCACGGTATACAGATGAGACAAACTGGTGGTATCCATCTTGACAAGTTTTTTGAAGATGTAGAAGCTATAAAAGACGAGCTAAAAGAACTTGAAAAGCTTCACTCCCAACTCCACAACTCACACGAACAGAGCAAGACTCTGCACAATGCAAAAACTGTCAAAGATCTTAGAACAAAGATGGATAATGATGTTTCAATAGCTTTGAAAAAAGCCAAATTTATTAAAGTCCGTTTAGAAGCTTTAGACAGATCTAACGCTGCTAATAGAAGTATAGATGGTTGTGGCCCTGGTAGTTCTTCTGATAGAACAAGAACTTCTGTTGTGAATGGGTTGAGGAAAAAACTTCAAGAATCTATGAATCAGTTCAATGAACTCCGGCAAAGAATGGCTTCTGAGTATAGAGAAACTGTTCAAAGAAGGTACTGTTGAATAAACTCTTTAATTATATTTTTAATTACTTTATTATATTAGATAGAAAAGCTCCAAATTACCCTCATTTTGACTTTTAGTTTAGAATTTTTACAGCATCTTGGCACCATTAGTTCCATAACAAACATGGCTATAAAGTATTTGTATCCAGTAGCAGAAATATTTGTCTCATTTACGAGAAATTATTTGATCGAGCACACAGTTCAAGCAAAAAAATAAGCTATAAAAAATTATCTGAACATAAATAATCAATAAATAAACAATTGAAAAAAGAACAAAACTAATAAGAAACAGACAAAGCAAAAGGTTGTAGTTCATCCTTGTATTTATTGCTTTCATCATCTTACTTGATTATCACATTTCCAATAATAGAAATTTCTTGTAGCTTAACTAAAAATATGCTAATAACAACAATAAAGATAAACAAGAGCTACCTGCTCTTCAGGGCAGAGGCAGACCATAAGGAAGCCAGCTACCTTTGACAGATTAATAGCATGTTTGGCCAAACTTCTCCAAAGTCAAAAATATATTTTTTTTAATGTTGAAGTGTTTGACCAAGTTTTTAGAAGAAAAAAAAAAGTATTTTTGAGTAGAAGTATAAAGAGAAAAAAGTAACTTATTTTCAAAAGCACTTTTTTGAGAAGCACTCTTAAAAAAAATATACTTAGAATCACTTTTAGCCAAATAATAATTGTTGTTCAAAAGTATTTTTCAAATTAATTAGTAAAACATAAACTGGTTAAAAATACTTTTGAGAAAAATAAAAAAAATTATTTTTCAAAATAAGCTTATTTTTGAAACTTAAGTAAAGTACAAATGCATAAAGAAGAGATAAAAGGGTGGCGTTGAAAGAACAGGGAGAAATGGAAATAAATTAGTAATAAGGATCAATTTCTTCCTTAATTTGTGGACTATATATTATTTAGAATTTTTTTGAAATATGCTATAACTGTAAATAGATTTGTTATTTTTGAAATAAACAAAGAGTGCTATTATGTACTTATGAGAATAGTTTTAAAAGAGCCACCGCCCTTGCCGTTGACTTATATTTGCCTTTATTATTGGTGGAGCTCCAGCATGGAATGTGTAAAGTCCAAATGTCTAAATTTTTTGAGAAAAAAAAAAGTTCAAATTCTCAGAGCTCCATTAGGGTCAAGGGAAAAAATTGGGATTTTTTTCTACATCAGATTAATATTAGACCAAAACTCAAACGAAGGTCTGAATTTTTTTATGATCCAAGTTTGATAGTGAGTGGTAGTGAAATTTGAAATTAGGGCCTCTGCCTAACATTTCATCTAAAAATTTAAACTGATAAAAGATATGATTATAATACGTCCCTCACGTGCGAGTCTGATTTTTTTATGAACCAAGTAAGTGAAAATTCAATTTATAATGCGTGTCGACAGTACTCGAAACCTAGAATCCCTAACTGCTCTAATACTAAAATACATTGAAATGTGTGATTAGTTCATCTAAAAACTTAAATAGTCAGAAAGACTATAATTTTAATTACTTAATTATATTATGTGTTCAACAGGTACTACACGGTAACCGGAGAAAACCCAGATGAAGGTACACTAGATAATCTGATATCCACTGGGCAAAGTGAAACATTTTTGCAGAAAGCAATACAGGAACAAGGAAGAGGACAAGTAATGGACACAGTTATGGAAATTCAAGAAAGGCATGAAGCTGTGAAGGAATTGGAAAGAAATCTGAAAGAACTGCACCAAGTTTTCTTGGACATGGCAGTTTTAGTGGAAAGTCAAGGAGCTCAGTTAGATGACATTGAAAGTCAAGTCAACAGAGCCAATTCCTTTGTAAGAGGTGGTGCTCAGCAGCTTGAGGTAGCAAGAAAGCACCAGAAAAATACAAGAAAATGGACTTGTATTGCCATTGTTATTTTGCTGATTATTATCTTGGTGGTGGTTCTTTCCATTCAACCATGGAAGAAATCAGGGGGGGAGACACAGCCGCAGCCACAACCACAACCACAGCCACAGCAACAGCCACCGCCACAGCCAACACGATAGTTATGAGTTCGGCAAAATCCAGTAGCCTCAAACCATATATTTGCACTAAAATATCACTTAGTACGTGTAAGTAATCTATTCAGAAACTCAGTAAGCAAAAAGGATTGTGGTCCAGAACTCATAAACTAAAAACCCTACCTCCATCTTGGGAAAGAATGACATACTACGAGAAGCAGTCAAATGATTTTATAGGTCACATGTTCGAACAATGGAGTCAGTCACTGATGCTTATTTCAATGTAGACTACCTTGCGACCCTTGCATGACGACTTCATGCATAATATTTTGAGCACCACACTGCCATTTTTTGCGTTTTTTTAAAAATGTTTGGAGTTCTTTTTGTAATTATTGATATAAGTAGAAACGGAGCTGAGGGGTACTGTTTAATTTTTTACCATGCGTTTTGTCTTAATTGCTTGGTTATATCTAATCTCTTCTTGGTGATTCTTTTGTTTCTTCTTCGGACCTTTTCAAAATTAATAAATGCATGTGGCATGCCACCATGAAAATTCCAGCCTGCAATTGTTTTACTAGACTTCAAAGAAAATGTCAAATAGAATTAAAAGAATTCTTCACATGTACTTAATACACTTGTAAAAATTCATTTTACCCGTATGAAATGTTTGATAATAAAACTAAACAAGACATTTAGCATACATCAATAATGTTAAAAGAATTGTTGTATACTTGTCAATACCTCTTAAACTAATAGAGAAAAGCGACGTACAACATATAAGAAGTAATAATATATATTTCAAGACACACATCCTTCAATTATTTAGAACGTAAGCTCCAATAGAGTAGAAAAACAAGGGAAAAAGAAGAGGGTCATAAATGAGCAACAACTCTAATTTTTTTCCATCAATGAGCAGCTACTTCTTCTTCAGCTTTCTCTTCTCTCAAGCATTATAGCTAAAGAGTGACACAAGAGGTACAGCTCTTACAAGTTACAAACTGTACGTATGATGATACTATTAACTTCTCTGTAGGTTTAACCGCATCAATAGCTAGAAAGCATCACGAACATTTACCTAGACCTTTAGAATACGATCTAAGTTCCAGTTCGCATGACACCCCTCTTATACATATTAGAAAACAATGACATACACGTCAATTATGTACCTGTCTACCAGCCATATGTTGGGTTTTCTACCTGAGGCAAGAAATGCAGATCTTTGCAATGCTGTTTGTCATAAATCTGAGTTTTAGGTATTACACCAGTATACAACCTCAGGAACTCATTCCCTGTGAGACAATTGTGGGCAAACGCCAGACCCCTATCAACCATCTCGTCTAGGTTTGGCATAGAAGTTGATTTCCCTATGCCCTTCTGATGTCTCCTGCCCATACTCATTTTGCCACTCAAAACCTTATTGAGATCAGAATATTTCCAATGAACATCTGCATAGCAGCTTCCAATGAAAGCTGATATTGCTCCTCGGGAGTGAGAGACTGAGGTTCGCCAGACATTGCCTCTTTAACTTTCCTACAAAGTCTTCACATGTCCTGTAAGTCAAATGCCTGGAAAAATTCATTAGATTGGTGGTCTGCACAGACTACAGATTTCCCCATGGCAAGAGCCTCGGCCGTGGCAGTGCAGAGCACATCACTGATACTAGGATTTATGAAGACCTTGTAACTGCAAGCAAAGATATGTACGTTAAAAAGCTGAACTGTAAAGAATCAAACAGGGAACAAGGAAATGGGAAAACACAACAACTAGCATCAACCAATTGGAATTTGGAAGTACCATGTCAATGAAAAATCCCAAGAAGAAATAAAAACAAATAATAGTGCATTCAGTAGTTATAGAAGATGTCGCAGAGAAAAAGTTTAAGACTTTATACAAGTAATGTCGTTCATGAGGTATTTACCGTTTAAACGAATAAGAAAATTTGCATGCAAGTAAAATTGAAATCTAAGTATATCTGTTTCATACTCTACATCTAACATAAATCAGGTCGCACATAACAACAACCAGTACTCTGGAGAACACTGGAAATTCCTAAATCTAGCTCATCATTCAATAAATTCACCTTCAATCAGTGAGGACCCTCCTTCGGGTAAGGAATGTAGCCAAAGTTTGCTTCGTCCTTTGCTGCATGGACTTTCCAGAATCTTTTCTGATATATCTGCAAATAAATTAAAGACCCAAAGAGGATGGCTTATAGTGTCCACAGACAACAGATAGACATTTAAATTAAATCAATAATTAATTTAATTAAGGCTTGTATAGCATTAGAATCCAGAAGTGTTATCTTGAAATTGAGGACCCGGCATATCAAGCTTTATTTTTAAATTATGACATCCATAACTACCATCTGTCTGTTACTCACAGCATATCATGCAAATGTTCTGCATCACCATGTTGGACATGTCAAGGACACATTACGAAAAACTATCCCATTTTACTTGTTGAGAGGTTGTAACTAACAGAGCTACCACAAAATTCACGCAGGATGAAAATGCTCCTAGCTTTAAGTGCAACAATTTACTATAAATTCAAAATGATATTTTTTAAAAAATTGTATAACTTGATGCAAAAGTAAGCTAACCATCCTAGTGAATGTGCAAGAGTAGGCTACCCTTCCTACTAAATGTCCAAAAGGAATAAGTGATATCTAGAGCAAAGTAAAAGCACAGATAAAATATCAAACCAGGAGTATCCACCTTCAACAGCTTAAATATACTAAACACCAAAAGAAAAAGAAGAAAAAAAAAAGAGCACTCATGTAGACTAAATGCACAGGTTGAGTATTGCAACAGAACAAATATTATGCATTCCAAAAAAAAGTATTGCAAACAGAATAACAAGAAAGACAATCCAAAATCACACTAATAAATTTGTAAATGACAAATGAACTATTACCTCTTCTTATTCCAATTTGATCCAAAAATGGGTCCGACGGTGCAACTAAATATGCCATCAGTTCTGGCACATCAAGTGGTGGCACTCCCTACATAGATGATAACAACATGTGAGAATGGATAAGAGGACAATGAACCATAGTACACAGTATTTCTCATATAATAAGAGAGGGGTTGAGGAAAAAGACACGAGTAAACTTTCAGTGTAAAACCATCTTTGGTGCTGATAGGAACTAAAAGGAATCACAAATGCAAAGCTAACAATGTGAATTATAGCACCGTCTTAAAATGCACAACATATTGCTTAAGATTACTTATGTTAAAAAAAATTGAAGAACAAAACTCAGACTCCATTCCTCTGATGAATAAGAGGTCTTTTAAGTCACAATTTCCTTAAAAGTTTTTTTGTTTTAGGGAGAAGTTGCAACTAGCTTGTTATTGAAAGACTGTCGTGACTGTGGCAGACTTGCAGCTCATAACCACTGGCCTAAACAGATCATTCATCAAAACCAAACAGTTAGCATATTTATTCAAACTGAGCAATAAAATGATAAAAGTATAAAGAGTTCACAGTATTCGGAAATAGAATCCAATAAAACATATTTTAGCATCAGAAAGTGAGACATCAAGTTTTCACCATTTTATCCACCTTCCACTTAAATAAAAAGCATCAAGAATATGAGACAGATGAAAATAGACGGAGGAACGCAAGATAAAGTTAAGAAAGCAATTGTAACTTGCCAGTTACCTGTCAGAAGTCACTGCATATACCACATGACGACTCCGAACTGACCTCATGGAAGGCAAATTTCCCTTAAAAAGAATAGCCCACAGGAGTGGAAATGAGAGAGGCCTTTATTCAAGCAACAGGGTATCAAGGTTCACATGCAGATCCAGTTGTGGACATCCTTGACTGCACAAACATATGCAATAGAATCACAAATAGAAGGAATTTCATACTTTATTTGTTGCCTGCTCTATCAAATCCCTCTAGCAGCAATGTATATGTCTGAGAACTAAGCCGAGAACCATTTTTCTCCATCATATCCAACAGCTCAGAACATCTATCTACAAGTCCCCTCTTAAGTAAGCCATCAATTAGAAGTTTCCAAGCTACCTCATCATTATTGTACCCACTTTCAAGAAGCCGGAAGAAGGTTGCCTTAGCTTTATCATTGTTCCCGTCATCATATAATCCACATATAAGGAGCTTGTATGACTCTAAGCGTGGTAAAAAACCTTGGGTAAGCATAGTGTCAAGAAATCTTGCTGCATCCTCATACATTCTCAACTTGCAACAACATTTTACCATTGAGGTGTATATATCTTCAGAAGAAGACATTCCGCGACTCTGCATATGATCAAGTAACCTTGAAGCTTCCTCAAGGCGTCCTTCTCTACAGAGTCCAATAGCAAGCGAACTAAAAGTGTTTGTATTTGGAGGACATTCATGTTCCCCCATTTTATCAAAGAGTTTAAGCAAAGTTTCATATTTCACTACTTTCCACACGTCAGCAATATTGATGGAACTGGCCTCTGTTTTGAGATCAAGTCCTCCTTGCGCCAAATGTTTGATCAAAACAGAATAGGTATAATGAGAAGGTTCATATCCAGCATCAAACATACATTTTAGCACATCAAAGGCTCGATTTAATAATCCTGCACGACCATAGCCATCAATCATTACTGTATAGGCCATCAAATCTGGCCTAACTCCCGCCTCTGCCATCTTAGCCATCACATCTTCCGCTTCTTTCAATTTCCCTTCATTGTAATATGCAACCAGAAACGAAGTGTAAATGCAGACGTCAGGCTTGTGTCCCATGGAAACCATTAAATTAAAAACCTTGTAAGCATGATCAAAGGCACATTCTTTTAGTAGCTGCTCAATCAGGATACTGTAGGATTCGATTGTGGGTTTAACACCACTTTCTGGCATCCTTTTAAGTAATTGGGCTGCTTCCAGTTGCTTACCCTGTTTACACAACCCGTTAATCAGCACATTATAAGTACATGCATTTGGGGAGCAACCTTCCTCAATCATTTTCTTGCACAATGTCAAGGCAAAATCAACTTTTTCAGCTCGGCAATGTCCATCAATTAGAGCAGTGTACATTGCAACATTAACCTTTATACCTTTCTCTTTTAGAGAACTAAAAATGGTGTTAGCTTCTTCAACTCTGCCTCTTTCACACAAGCCATCAACTAGAGTACCATAAGTCCAATCATCAGGAGCCAAACCATTCTCCTCCATCAATCTAAGCAACCTAAATGCACTATCTATTTCGCCCTCTTTACACTGTCCATGAACTAACAAGTTAAAAGTGACATTACTAGGAGACAGTTTGCGCTCAAGCATCCTATCAAGTAGTGCCATTGCTTTATGCACCTTCTTTGTCCTACAAAAGCCAGAAATCAATTCATTGTATGTACGTACATTAGGGATACAATTATTCGATTCCATCGTGTCAAAAATAGCTAATGCAACATCAACCAAACCTTTCTTACAGTAACCATCAATCAAAGCATTGTATGTCACCACACTCGGAACTAGCCCCTTTTCTGACATCACATCTAGTAACGCTCTTGCTTCGTCAAGCTTGGAGTCTTTACACAAGCCATCGATCAGAACAGTGTAAGTATGAACATTCGGCTCACAGCCTTTCTCCTTCATCTCGCCGAACATACTCAATGCTTCTGCCCTCCTATCTAATCGACACAATGCATCAATGAGAATCGTATAGGTTCGAACATTAGGACAACAACCATCATCATCTCCCATTCCTGAAAACAACCTCATCGCCTCATCCATCCTCCTCGCTTCACACAACCCGTGAATCAAATTATTGTACGAAACCACATTTCTTCGGCAACCCTTTTTCGGCATTTCCCTAAAAACCTTAAAACCACTATCTACATCCTTTCTCCTACAATGCCCCAATATAAACGACGTGTAGGTGTGCGTATCAGGACTCAAACCAGCTTGCAAGATCTTACTCAAATAAAGCTCAGCCTCAACAACATTACCCAATTTACAATAAGCATTAATCATTGTATTAAAAGTATAAATATCAGGCTTAATCATATCATTCAACATATCATCATACAGACATTTCATTTCCTCAATCATAACGAACCGCGATAATGACATTAACAACGTGTTATAAGCCCACAAATTAAGCTTAAACTCATCACATTTATTCATATTTCGCAGAAAACCCATTGCAAAAACGGCATCTTCACACGTTTCGCAGGATTTAATCATGGAAAGGCGGGTTTTTTCAGCGACCTGAAATAGCTTATTGGAAATCAAAATACGTAAAAGGGGTGCATAGGAATGAACATTGGGTTTGAAAGAAGGGATACGGGAGAGATAATTGAAGAAGGAGAGGGTAATATGGGGATTGAGATTTGAGTGGTTTTGAGAGAGGAAAGAAGAAAGAAGAGAAGGGGATAGAGAAGGAATAAGAATCTTGAGGGAAGGGTGTTTTTGCCAATTTGGATTTGAAAGAAGGTTGAGGAGTTGTTGGTCAATGGAGGAAAAGGGTTCTTGAGATTCTTCTGGGAATGAAGAAGTGATGGAAAATGGGAAAGATTTGACAAAGGAAAATAAAAGAGAAATTGACTGACCTGATGTACGGAATGGGAATGGAGTAGGCAATGCCGTCCATTGTATCATCGTCTTTGGAAAATCACGACGAAGAGAGATATTCAAGTTTTGAGATTCATGGAGCTGGTTTTGGAGTGTTACACAGCGGCGATTTTGTTGTTCGCTGACAGAGGCGGACTTCGGCGATTGTTCAGCTGACATTAGAAGGGGGTGAAGTGCACAAATAGCCATTTTTAGAATTTCTATTTAAAGTTTAGCCATTTTAAAAGTTTTTATTGCCTCATAATCAATTTTCAATACTTCAGGTCTTCAGCTGAAAATTGCGATTCTTATGTCAATCCCACGATGATGGTTGTTGGAACAATATTAAGGAACTCTATCTATGTTCCATTTAAGTAAAACATAGAACAATAACTTATATAAATTCAATATTTTGAAGCAACTTACAAACTAGAAAAACTTGTACATTGGTATATAGGTTTTTACAATTTAGTCTATGAAACTTTATATGATACATTTGTATAACAAAGCTACATCATGATGCAATTCATTGTTTTTACCCACCTTGCTTGTCCAAGCCGGCAAAATATAATCTAGAAAAATAAATTGTCCAGGGTAAAGATATGTTATGCTAAGTAATTGCATAAGAGAGTGACACGTGGAGCTGAAGGCAAAGGATTGCTAAAATCGAAAATAATTGTTCTATTTGTTACCGGAAAAAAATGACGCTCATAAAGATGCAATAAATATTTGTCACACGGATGAGATTTATTAGGGAATATTCAACAACATTTAGTACACTGCCCGTTACAAAGAATTTGTTATTTATCCTCACTGTTACACATTCTTCAATGTCTCTCATAATTGACATTAAAGAAGGGCATAATCTTAGGACCTTGTGCCCTAGGTACAGCTATAAATAGTGAGCTTTATTATCATTATAAATGACACAAATTTTCTGGCAAACTAACGATATAATCTATTTAAAGCTTTATACAATTTTACCTTCTTACTTTTTGATTCCATTATTATTGTGCCCGGAAGCCTTGCTCCCGGAATTACTGTGTCTACTATTTCATCTTCATCTCAAGGCTAAGTATTGCATATTTCTTCAATTCTTGTATTATTTTAAGATCAAATTAATTCACTTGTCTAGAAATCCCGTATAAATTCAATTGTACCGTTTTATGGGTAAACAGTTTGGCGCCCATTGTGGGGCCTAGACAGTCGTGTAATTAAGTTGGTCCTTATTTCTTTTACTAACGTGTTTTGATTATTTGTTCTTAGCAAAAAATCACAGAAAATGGCAAATAATGGTGTTAACAACACACACAATCTTGAGGCCCAAGGAGACCATTCCCAGCACGAGGATTCAATCAATGACACCCGCAATGAGGGAAACGATGCTACGTCGGTCCACGACAAGCGGTACCCGCGACATGTTCGGGAGGCGACTCTCAATGATGCTGAAGATGAGCATGTTGTTGAAGCGTTAAGGGTCCTGCAAGAGTAACAAGAGGTCATTCTAGGCTATCTCATACGGCAGGATAAGGTTATGACAGAAATAAAGCAGGCGTTGTCGGGTGCTTCCAATAATGCAAATGGACGAGGTCCAGTTCCTCCCAGCGCTCCCGCAAATCAAACAATGCAGATGTTCGACAACAACACCCTGAGGGGTGAGGTCGGCTTTGATGAGGCCGAGAGGAGCAATTTCGGTCACAACAACAAGAGAGATCCCTTCAAAAGCGAGCTCTTACGATTTATGAGGAAGTGAATGCCCGCATGGACCAAATTTCGGGTGCACCACCGGTGCTGAAAGGGTCGGACTCAAAGAAGTATACTCAGTTGCCGTATAAACCAAGCGCGACACCAGAATTGATACTGAACCGGTTTAAAATGCCCGGCGTGCCGAAATATGATGGGCTTCGGACCCTCAGGAGCATATCACTACCTATACAACGACGGTGACGGGGAACGATTTAGATCCCCACGAGATTGAATATGTTTTGCTGGAGAAATTCGGAGAGACTCTCACGAAGAGAGCCTTGACGTGGTATTCGCAGTCACCCGAGCATTCCATAGATTCCTTTGAGATACTCACAAATTAGTTTATTAAGGCACATGCTGGGGGCAGAAAGGTGCAGGCCCAAAAGACCGACATATTCAGAATTGCACAAGAAGAGTCCGATTTGCTACCGGAATTCGTCACCAGGTTCCAAAAGGAGTGGATGTTGCTCCCGGCTGTTCCGGATGAATGGGCGGCTGAAGCATTCACCAAGGGTCTGAATCCGAGAAGTTCTGATGCTTCCTGAAAACTAAAGGAAAGCTTGCTTGAGTTCCAAGCGATGGCTTGGGTGGATGTTCACAACCGGTACGAGTCTAAGATAAGGATTGAAGATGATCAGATTGGCTTCCTGGCGTCGGCTAAAGGTCGGGAGAAGAATAAGGAAATCTCAAAAGATAATTTCGACACAGATAGATGGTCTTCGAGGGGCCGATTTTTGCCCTACAAACGGGCCGAAGGACGTGGCAGAGGTTTCTGATCGGCAGACAGGTTCATTACCGACAGAAGAACTGATCGCGGTCAGAACAACAAATCATTGCAGGACAAAAAAATATCAGGTACACAGGATCCTTCTTACCCAGGCTACCAGAATACAACTTCAACGTTAGTGTAGTAGAGTTGGTATCGGCTATGAGAAATATTAAAGAAGCACGATTCCCGAAGCCGATGAGGTCCGATCCCATCTAGAGGGATCCCAATTTGTGGTGCGAATACCACATGATGAATGGCCACCGGACTTGGGACTGCCGATATTTGCGTGAAAAGGTGGAGACACTACTAAAAATGGTCATCTCAGGGAATTCTTAAGTGACCGGGCCAAGAAAAATTACGGTCGCAACCGTGATAACGTGAAGAACTCAAAAATAGGAGAAGATCCCCCACGCCAGACGATCAATATGATCTTCGGGTGGAACGAGATCAACGTGGTTACCTTCTTGGAATCAATGAAGACAAATATGTCAATAACCCATAGCAAGATACTCCGGGAAGTGGCTGAAAACGACATCACTTTCACGAAGGAGGACACAGATGGACTGTTGCTACCGCACAATGATGCATTGGTATTTTTTTTAAATGTACTAGATTTTAAAATCAAACGCGTTCTGGTGCATCCAGGAAGTTCGAGCAATATCATACAATGGAGGGTACTGGAGCAAGCTAAACTTACTGGAAGCATCATTCCGATCATAACTCCTCGCCGGATTCAACATTGCAAGTGTGACAATCCGAGGAGAGATTCTGCTGCCCACAAATGTCGAATGGGTGATGAAAACGACTCTTTTTGAAGTTGTGGACGATGATATGGGTTATAACATTATTCTGGGAAGACCGTGGTTGCACGAGATGCGAGTTATACCATCAAGATATCATCAGTTGCTGAAATTCCCAACTCCCGAATGAATTAAACAGATAAAAGGCGACCAACCAGAGGCAAGGGAGATGAATGCGATTTCGATCTCTAGTAGCAAAGGGAAGGAGCATGCGGCATAGCAATTACAGGAACCGACGCCTTCTCCTGAATCAGGTGAAGTTAACCAGGGGAAGAAGTGTCAGAATCTTATCAAGTGCCAAGATACTTCCAGGTGCCAGAAGAGACGGATGCAACAAAGTCCACAACGAAAGAGCTCGAGCAAGTTGCATTGTTTGACAAGTTATTGGGGAGTAAATTCCACTTGGGGACGAGACTGCACCCCGAGCTCGGGTCTAGCTTTATTGAATTTCTTAAGTATAATGTCGATTGTTTTGCGTGGTCGCATGCGGATATGATAGGTATCCCAACGGAAGTGGCCATACACTAGCTAAGCTTGGATCCCAACATCCCTCTGGTAAGGCAAAAGAAATGCCCTATTGCGGAGGCCAGGAATAAATTCGTCAAAGAAGAGGTAACTCGCCTACTTGATATCGCTTCGATCCGAGAGGTAAAGTATCCATACTGGCTAGCTAATGTAGTAATAGTTCCTAAGAAAACAATAAATTTTGCATGTGCATAGATTATAAGGACTTGAATAAGGCATGCCCAAAAGGCTCGTTCCCACTGCCAAACATCGATCAAATGATTGATGCAATGGTTGGGCACGAGTTAATGAGTTTCCTCGATACTTATTTCAGGTACAACCAAATTAAGATGAACCCGGAGGATCAATAAAAGACTTCGTTCATAACGAATTTCGACACATATTGCTATAATGTGATGCCATTCGGGATAAAGAACACCGGAGCCACTTATTAATAGCTCGTAAACAAGATATTTGAAACACAGATAGGGAAAACCATGGAAGTTTATATAGACGATATGCTTGTTATGTCTTTCAACTAGGGGTGGGCATAAAATCCAAAAAATCGAATTCCAAACTGGACCGAATTAATTCGGTATTTTGGTTTCGATTTTTTCGGTATTTCGGTATAATTCGGTATTACATTTTCGGTATTTCGGTATAACGGTTCGGTCCTCGGTATTAGGATCTTGAAATTTCGGTATACCGAAATACCGAATTTTAAAGAATTTTATGTTGGACCTATACTGCCCAGCCCAACCCAATATGTTGTATCTCTAATTCTCTACACTGCCCTAGTGCCCAGCCCAACCCAATAAGGCCCAACTCTTACCCTCTTTACTCTTTAGTCTTTCCCTAGTTTCACTTCACTACAGGAAATTATAAAGGGAGAAACATAAACCTAGCCAAAGAGGCAAAGAGCTGTGACTGTGAGAGAGAACTCAAAAAAGTGAGAACCTCGGCGCGATAGAGATGAGTCAGACGACGTCACAACGACTTCACGACCTCGACGCCGATGACTCTCAAGTGTGACTGCTGGTTTCCTTATTTTTTACCTTCATTCTTCAATCTTCAACTCTTCAAAAGGTTCATAACTTTTCATTCTTCAATCTTCAGTTTTTTTATAATAATTTATGGTAGATTAATTGGTAGTTCTTGGAATAAGGAAAACTCTTTGTTTTGCCACTTATTTTTTTTAATGGCTAATCTCTTCATAAACAAGTTCTGGAAAATTTCACTTTGAACCTAATGTCCTAAAGATTCCAGTGACATGTAAAGAGTGGGATTAGTTTTTTAGTAGAGTTATTAAACTACAAGATTTGAATGAGTGGAAACTAGGGGTGGGCAAGCAAAAAGAATTTATGTAATTATCTTT